GCCTCATTAATAAATCCGGCCCGTTGAATTTGACCCGTTTAGTATAACGTCTTGGTTGTTGACTATCGTAATCAGTCTTTAAAGTTAGCGGGCCACGTTTAGTTTGGCTAGCCGGCATTAGTTTGGTGTATATGTAGACAGTGCATCGTGGCGGGAGATTTGAAATTCTGCCCTCTCTTACCCATTTAGTACGGTCGTGCCTCATTAATTAAATCCGGCCCGTTGAATTTGACCCGTTTAGTTCAAATTCTTAGTTGTTAACTATCGTAATCCTTGTTTAAAGTTAGCGGGCCACGTTAAGTTTGGCTAGCCGGCATTAGTTTGTTGTAGACACTGCATTGCGGCGGGAGATTTGAAATTCTGCCCTCTCTTACCCATTAAATACGGTCGTGCCTCATTTAATTAAATCCGGCCCGTTAATTTGACCCGTTAAGTACAAAGTCTTAGGTGTTGACTATGGTAATCAGTCTTTAAAGTTAGCGTGCCACGTTTAGTTTGGCCAGCCGGCATTAGTTCGGTGTATATGTAGACAGTGAATCGTGGCGGGAGATTTGAAATTCTGCCCTCTCATTCTCAATATTGAGTACGGTCGTGCCTCATTAATTAAATCCGGCCCGTTGAATTTGACCCGTTAAGTACAAAGTCTTAGGTGTTGACTATCGTAATCCTTGTTTAAAGTTATCGGGCCACGTTTAGTTTGGCTAGCCGGCATTAGTTTGGTGTAGACAGTGCATTGTGGCGGGAGATTTGAATTTCTGCCCTCTCATACTCATTAAGTACGGTCGTGCCTCATTAATTAAATCCGGCCCGTTGAATTTGATCCGTTTAGTATAACGTCTTGGTTGTTGACTATCGTAATCAGTCTTTAAAGTTAGCGGGCCACGTTAAGTTTGGCTAGCCGGCATTAGTTTGGTGTAGACAGTGCATTGTGGCGGGAGATTTGAAATTCTGCCCTCTCTTGCCCATTAAGTACGGTCGTGCCTCATTAATTAAATCCGGCCCTGTGAATTTGACCCGTTTAGTACAAAGTCTTAGATGTTGACTATCGTAATCCTTGTTTAAAGTTAGCGGGCCACGTTAAGTTTGGCTAGCCGGCATTAGTTTGTTGTAGACAGTGCATCGTGGCGGGAGATTTGAAATTTGCTGCCCTCTCTTCCTCATTAAGTACCGTCGTGCCTCCTTAATTAAATCCGGCCCGTTGAATTTGACCCGTTTAGTATAACGTCTTGGTGTTGACCATCGTAATCAGTCTTTAAAGTTAGCGGGCCACGTTTAGTTTGGCTAGCCGGCATTAGTCTGTTGTAGACAGTGCATCGTGGCGGGAGATTTGAAATTCTGCCCTCTCTTCCTCATTAAGTACCGTCGTGCCTCCTTAATTAAATCCGGCCCGGTGAATTTTACACATTTATTATAAAGTCTGAGTTGTTGACTATCGTAATCTGACTTTAAAGTTAGCGGGCCACGTTTAGTTTGGCTAGCCGGCAATAGTTTGGTGTAGACAGTGAATCGAGGCGGGAGATTTGAAATTCTGCACTCTCATACTTATTAAGTACCGTCTTGCCTCCTTAATTAAATCCGGCCCGTTGAATTTTACACATTTAGTATAAAGTCTGAGTTGTTGACTATCGTAATCTGACTTTAAAGTTAGCGGGCCACGTTTAGTTTGGCTAGCCGGCAATAGTTTGGTGTAGACAATGAATCGTGGCGGGAAATTTGAAATTCTGCCCTCTCTTGGTCATTAAGTACCGTCGTGCCTCCTTAATTAAATCCGGCCCGTTGAATTTTACACATTTAGTATAAAGTCTTAGTTGATGACTATCGTAATCCTTGTTTAAAGTTAGCGGGCCACGTTTAGTTCGGAGCAGACAATAAACGCGGCGGGTGATATAACATTCTGCCCTCTTTTACTCATTAAGTACCATCCTGCCACGTTAATTAAATCCGGCCCGTTGAATTTGATACTTTTAGCCTATAGTCTTGGTTGTTGACTATCGTAATCCGACTTTTGAGTTAGTGGACCACGTTTAGTTCGGTATAGACAATGAACTTTGTATGTATGTAAAAGCGGCGGGAGATTTGAAATTCTGCCCTGTCATACTCATTAAGTACCGTCGTGCCTCGCTAATTAAATCCAGCCTGTTGAATTTCATACCTTTGGGACATAGAGTAGGTGTTTGGCTACAAGTATCAATCTTTGAATTTAACGGGCCACATTTTGTTAGACGGCAGATACACTTTATACCCTTTCCAGCAGCCCACTCAGATGGCGTAAGATTTGAAATTCTGCCCTATCGATCATACGTAAGTATACCCTTGTGCCTCCTTAATCAAATCCGACCCATTGAATTTGATACTTTTAGTGTATATAGTCTTGGTTGTTGACTACCGTAATCCGTCTGTAAAGGCCACGTTCAGTTTGGTGCAGCTATAACTGCTGAGTACACATATCTCTTATGCCTAATTAGGCCCGCTGTCAACGGCCTAATTAAATCCGGCAGGTAAAATCTGAAACTTGTAGTAGACTTGTGATGTAATAAGCTATCATAACGCTTTTTTCAAGTTCATCTGCCATATTTTTTGGCTAAATTACTGATTTTTGGGTTTTCGAATCGGTACCCGAATCAGTTGCTATGTTCCATCTAGCGGCGAAACGCCGGCTGTAACGCCGGCTACGAATCGAAGGCTGAAACGCCGGCTAGCTTCACCTTGGTCCGCGTGCCGCAGCAACAGTCCCCCGCCGAAGTAGCTGACGGCGTACCCGAGGATGAAGATAGTCCCCCTGGTACCGGGTTCACTAGTGCAGCCCCGGCCGCCGAAGAAACAGAGAAAGCCGAAAGCGACACTGTGAAAGGATATCACAGTCGATTAAAAATGAAATAAGCTAAACATGGCATGTCATACATGTACATGTATGTACAGACTAATGGAATGAAATGTCAAAATACGAAACTTGGTCTCTCTATTTTTCTTGACGACTGTTAACTTTAAGTTCGACCTGTTTAAACAAGAAATAGGCCTTACAGTCCACATAAAGTGATGATACATTGATGTTTACAACATTTACTTAGGAATTGTTCTTACTTTTCCCCGAACTCGTGGATGTCTGCGCTGTTACCAAACCCGGGGATGATGTCTGTCCAGAAGAGCGCGGCTGCGCACAGGAACTGGTACACGGACTCCCAGAACAGGAACCAGATGAGGCTGATCTGTTCCCGGCGTGCTCCGGGCGTCATCTTCATCACCTTCTCCTCAATCACGTTCATCGCTGCAGCTGGAACCTGTAGGTGTATGTGCTATGTGTAACTCTCCCACGCTCTTTAGTGTTAAATAAAAGCTATTGAAGACATAGTATTTGATTATGATTGATCATGACCGATATGAAATCAAAGAGCAGAGAGACAAAATATCATGTTTGGGCATGACTCTTAGGGAAAACTGAGGAGCAAAACACATAGAAGTTGCAGAAAGACTGGCGTTGTTCAAGCATGATCCCGTAGAGCCTACTTTGTAGCTAAAGATCCGCATAGGTTATGATCTAAAAGAAATGTATACTCACGAATCCGACCATGAAGCAGAGCGGCCACAGTACGCCAGCGGCACCCTTGGCCCCCGGTGCGGTGTCGGCGCCCAAAGCCGGGATTATCTTCGGCAGCAGACAGATGAAGAGGGACAGCAGGACCAGCATAGAGCAGATGAACTTCCGCTGTGTGGGCTTCTTCCTCAAAACCAAGAGTCTGGAGAAGGTACCACAGTTATATACTGAGTTAGCAAATTCCGTATATCAACTCCATACGCCGTCATCCATTATTGTTACCTCCATGAAATGTGTCATGGAGGTTATATTTACCTCCATGAAATGTGTCATGGAGGTTATATTTTCAGTTGCGTTTATCTGTCCGTCTGTCCGTCTGTCTGTCTGTCCTTCTGTCCGTCTGTTGGTCAACAAGATAACTCAAGAACGCCTGGATGGATTGGTTTCATACTTGGTGTGTTGGTAGGGTGTGACGAAAACTGGAAATGATTAGATTTTGGTCCCCCTAGTGGCTTCCCTTGGTACTGCAGCGCAACTTCCGGTTTTGATATCTCGCGATCTGGACATGCTAGGGTCATGAAATTTGGATGATAGGTAGCTCTCGTGCTTGGGAAGAAGTCACATGAGTTTGGGCCCCCTAGCGGCTTGTTCTGGAACTGCAGGGCACTTTCTGGCGAAATGTTTAAAAGCCAATAAGTCCAGACAGGAACAACATATTTTCGTTATTTTTGGTGTGTAGGTAGCCGAGAGAGAGATGTACATAATTAAATGCAAATTATGCAAATGAGGACTTAATTGGCATAATTAATGAGGAAATTCTATAATTACAGTGTTTTACATTATACTACTTACATACATGTAATGTATGTAACCTATGGCAGGTGGAACTTCAACAGATACTAATTATGCAAATGATGACCTAATTTGAATAATTAATGCGAAACTTCTATGATTTCGTAATGGTGAATGATGAGAAGGTCATACTTGGGACATCTGTAAGTTAATCAAAAGTTAACATACATCACGATGCATATATCATGTTAATGCACAGGTCATTTGCACAATTAAAGAAGACATTTACATTTACATATCAAGATCATATTTCATGGAGGTATGAGATCTCGGAATTCTAGTTTCAATATATTATCAGAAGACGTTACGTCTTACCTTAGCAACATTGTGATGGGTATGGTGAAGTTACCGAGGATAGCCTGTAGGTACGGAGCCGTCCTGGATCCACTCGAAGCGTTCACTACCAGCACCCCGTTCAAGGCGTCGAACATCCCCACTAGGAACAGCAGGGTGTGGGGGAATTTCAGGTCCGTCTCTGTGATCTGGCCTATGGTGGGGAAAACATATATGATACTTGATTTTACGTCGTTACTGTACATGTCCGGTTTTGTTCGTTTAGTATTGCACAAAGGATACAAGAATTTTAACCATAGTCAAAGTCTATTCTATTGTTTTTATAGTTTGTATATACGTTTAATTTTTAATAGTTTGCATCTACATCTAAGTTTTGCTACGAATAGAAATCTACAAAGAATAAAACGTTAATCTTGTTGATGGATACAAGGAAAAAAGACAAAAAGACACGTACCCAGGAAAAATGCTCCTGCCAGACACACGCCAAAGATAACGACAAAGGAGAAACTGGCGAAGGAGAAGACGAAGTACGGGACAATGTGAGGTGACGTGACGTTCGAGGTGACGTTCGACGTCGTGTTGGACGTCCCCGAGGTGGCAGCGTCAATCCACAGCGGCAGGGAGACATTCTGTGTGACCTGGGAAGTGGACGGACCATGATACTTTAGTCTTTACAGCAGAAAAAAGAGATCTGCGTGATGTTATATTTATGATTAAATCCACCGATGCTACACGTTACCACAGTGTCTGTACTTGATCCATACCATAACAAAACGTTTCATTGTATGTGTCGATAAAGGTTATTAGAAATCCGAATTCTCGTAATGAGGTGCGCCAGGAAATTGGTACTCTACTGGGTAGATTTGAAAACTACAAGTAGTAGCAATCATCTTGTGTTTCGTGGTATGATTCGATGTTATGATTTATAATGTACTACGAAAGACAATGTAGACCAAACTGGTCAAGTTTATACCGTACCTGTCCACTCACAGCAAGGAAGGCGAAGATTATATTGGCTACCAAGACAGTCGCTTCCCAGCCGAAACAGAGCTTCAGCTTGCGCTGCTGTCGGGTGGTCTGGGTGGTTCTCTGCATCACGTTGCGATTTCGGGGGGTTACCAAGCATTAAGTGCCAGCTGTTTGTTCTGAGACTTGATGTTATGCCTTCAGCTTGCAAAGGAACACAGTGGCAACCGTATGTGCGTTCACTCGAATGTATAAGTTTGAATAGCCTCGCTAGTAACAATTCGCTTGGGGTTATTATGATCAAGTCTTATGACACATTATTTGCCTTGCGTGTTACACTATAATAATCAATATACAAAATAGTTTTTATTACTTTCTGTATCGAGCAAAGTGATCGATCGCGAGTGGCGCTATCTCAGGCACTGGGACAGTATTTGTTGGTTGACCTAATTCAGCTCTAACACAATGTTACTGTGTCAACTCTTGGATATTTTTCTGAAGCTAAGCCATGATAATCAATACATCGACGTCATAGTATTGGGCAAAGGGTATACGGACCACCGTCTGACCACCGTGATGATGATCTGATCGAAGAATCGACCAATAAGCGAAACAATGGCAGAATTGTCATCGGCAGCACTTTGATGTGACAGGGGTGGTTGGGCCAGTGAATATTGGGAGTCCTACTACGCAGGCCTAAATTAATGCGTTACTAAACTCATCCGCCAGGTAGCGCACCCGTACTGTTTAGAACTTCACACAGAAGACCTTTCACCTTGTACTTATCGTGAATGGCCATGGTGTGCTTTGACGTAAATAATTAGCCTGAATGCCATTTTAGGAAGGGTAGCATTCACCCGTTTATCGCCTCCATTCACGTGGCATTGGAACATTGAGATGTCACAAAATGAGGGTTTCGTCCAACATTTCATACTGTGCTTGCTTACCATGAACCTACCATGCTTACCATATCCTAGTTGAAGTAAACGCATTCTCCAAAAGTCGCTATCCAACACGTTCAAAGGTTAGTACTTACTGTAAAGAGATGTCACGTAGTTAAGTGTTTCATTGTTTACTGAAAAGGTCCTTGTTACTTTACCCTGCTTTAGTTGGCCGTTCTGTCTTTTCAAGGTCGGATGAAACACTGCTATTTTCCACACTTGTCAGTATGAATATACTATGTATTTTTTTGCATATGTAGAATAAACAGTAATTTTTGTCATTTTCTCAGACCCATTTAAGGTTCCGGGTCGGAGTTTAATTCTGACCAGAGTCTAAGTAAGTGCGCAGTAAATCGCCGGAAACGTAACTTTGTATGGTATGTTTTGGGCGCGATATCCCTGAAATCGTAATATCTGTGTACATATCTTTGTATTTTCTGAAAAGCCTGTTAGTTGTAGCCTTTATAGGTGGCGTAATGTTGGTGGTCCAGCTAAGACTTCCTGGTATTCGTCCGCGCGGATGGTTATGTGGCCTTTTCGCCTGACCGCCGGGATGGTACGTTCTATATGCGTTCTGGGTGTGTTCGGGCCATCGAAGATAGCGATAAACTTATCGCATCGATTTTAATTAAATTCAAATTTTGGAAACATTAGGTTCTGTGCTTCTTCGAGTACTAAGCCGTTACCCTGGGAAAATTCGTTTTTTCCATGTATCCATGGTTAAAAATGACGAAAAAAATGACCCCTTTTTTCAAAATGTACTTTGATGTGCCTCATTTACCCCTAAATAAATTGGGCGCAGAAAATATCAATCAAGTGTATTGATAAGCGGCACGGCACCCCTTTCCACCAAAAGAGTGAAAAATTCCGACCCGCGTTTAGTACAGAAATGACAGCCCGTCGGGCTGAGGGTGTCAAATTGCTCGAAATACGGAGGGAAACTCCGGTCCGAGACCTTAACTTCAGTCTGTCCATAGTTAAATCCCCATCACAGCAACGTATCGTCTATGAACTAGGTTATCTGATTAGAAAGTCCCCCTTGAATACTAGCTAGTATTCCTTTACTAGCCGAATAAATTATACCTTGGGCAAACAGTTTGACAAAAATACGACGGGCCAAGGTTAATACTGGAATTATCTGTTTACTCGTTACTAATACATACTAGTCTATTTTATTTCGACTCGATGAAAATTTGGTAGAAGCTAGACTCTTACCCCTCCATACCAATAAGTCACTGCTTCTCCATGATGTATCTTTAATGTCTGGACTACCTTTAAAAATTTAATATAAGGTTACTGTTGGCAAAAACTAAAATTGAAATCTTCTAATCTCCACATAAAACACAATACAAATGCAATACAAGACATTGCATGATTTGAAGACCATGTTGGATACATAACAAATGCAAGCAACACATTTCACACGCAATGCGCTGTATGAAAACGTCTAAAATACTCTGATATATATAATTCATGATCCACCACATGATAATGAAATATAATGAGTCTTTCTATAATTTGTCACACCTATAGCTTCGTATATTTTTCTAAAATCCAAATAAGAATTGTGGGGAGAAAATATTTGTTGTTTCACTGTTAACGTTCAAAACTCTTGTGTCGCTAAGTTCTATCGTGTTACAGATAACTATATGTTGCCATGTTGACTGTTATTTTGAACCAAGGACATTATACAGCATAATGTCCTTGTTTGAACGTTGGAACCTTTACCATGGAGTTGTGCCAATCCCATGTAGAAGTACATAACATCTGGGAATGTCAAGCAGCAATGCCATACTGATAAGCATTATATAACAATTATTACAGTGCAAAAGAACATTTTGGCTTACCGGCTTTACTGTGCGAAAGGAATAATAATCCTACTATCCTACTATACTATGTCTTCAAACCAATATGAGAAAAATCTCCTTTTATTGGCCAACAGCGACTAGAGATGTAGACTGTAACATATCATCACGACTACAAGAACGTTTCTGTATTGTCCATATTCACAGGTACCCACGCTTTCTTAATTTTCGTGAAGCGCATGGTCTCGTCGCAGCCGTCTTCGTTCTCTGTGATTTTTCTAACACGTGTTTGGGAGGTTTTAGAGCATTTCTGAATCCACTGGGAAATGCGACTCACTTGTGTTTCATTCAAAGTCCATTTCATGCTCAGAAACAGTTTCTGTCTGTCTGCTTTGTCCGCCAGACGTGGTTGACGCTTAAAAAATCTGTCCTTGAGTTCACCTTCATCATACAGGCTTGATTCCTGGCTCGATGGCGGTAGGTCTTTATGGCCACACAGCAGAATCATGACCCCTGTAGGGATAATTCTGAACATTAATAATTCAATAAGAACGTTGACTTCCTGCTAGCCAATTACCCAATAGTTGTGTGCCTGACCAATTTCGACATTAAACCATCACACTATACATCAAGCTTAATACATTTTCAGAAATGTCATTGTTGACTATTCATTTGTAAAAAAATCAATATTTGGGGCTGTGAATACAACATAAGAAAAGGAGAATGAAAACATTTTTCTTAAAGATTGGCAGTTTTTCTTAGTAAATAAGAGTATGACTAGAACATGGTCTCGTGTCGGAAATTACAATTTCATAGTACACATGTATCTGCCTTCTGGTACGGATATTTATCGTCAAAATTACATGTCATACATTGCATTGTACCAAGAAAGGTTACTGTTTAGTTGCCTACTTTCTTCTCCGCACTTCTCCTCTGCCGCCTTTATGATGTCACCTACTTCATCATCTTCTGTGTCAGAGATGATGATCAGACGGGTGCCGTCGTGCACACAGCAGATGGCAACGGAATCCTCGTCAAGTGCGCTCAGCTTCTTATCTACTTCTGAACGTTCTGATATTTTGAATTTTAGTAAGGACTTTTCATCGATACAGACTGACAGTGCCTTCTTCACTTTGTTCAGTGTGTCGTCATTTAGTCCAGTCAGATATACGTTGATCTGCAATGTAATATTTCATTTTAGTTTGAATGTATGTAGAGTTGAGGTATCTTAACACGCTGAAATAAAAATTACATACAAATTTTGTCGGTTTAGTTTAACGAAGAGTGAAATGGTGACAATTATGATGAATAAGGAGAAATACTGTATACCGACGTACGACAAATTAATGACAAGATATCACCAACAAAATATTTAAAAGATGATTGATCATGTTGTAATTGGGTTAACGTATTTTACAGTTTTTAGATGGTATGAAACTGTAGTCATTTTTTGTTATTTTGCGTCACAAATATTGTCAGAACACAAAATGATACAAATGTCTTATTTGCTCCAGCGTAGGATATTAACCGTTCGACGGTAGTATTTATATCAGCAAACCTGTCACGAGTCTGAGGTCATAATAAAAAATAAGTGATATTTACACATCAATTTTTACGTATACGTCTGTCAGCAAAAGGTGTTGATACGAGCACGAGTGTCTCGATCATATGCTATGGCTGGTCGTATCGACCAAAAGGGGTGAACGTGTGGTCTATCTGTTTACCCGTCAACGTGAATTTACCGAAATAATGATTACTGTTAATGCTGAGGTCACAATTCGCATACGGAGCCCGGCCGGGCAGCTTTTTAGAACGAAAAGTACGATATAAAAGACAAAAAAACACAGAGAAGTTTTTGATAATAATCATGGGCACTATTTCTGTATATTTTTGATATGAATTATTAATTTTTCGTTCATACAAACAGCCCGACCGGGCCCCGGCGTGGAAATATGACCTAAGCATAACTGTTAGAAGAAATATATCAAAGCTCATACCTGCTTTGAATCCAATTTGTTCTCTTTATAGCCTGTAAATAAAAAGAACATCTCGATAACGTTGTAGACTACTAGTTCATAACATTGGCATATCAATGTTTATTTATTTATTGCAATATTCCCCACATACACATGTACACAGGCATGGTGGACCAGGTGGACCTAAGTACACCTTTTTAATTCGATCAAGGCCACATGCATGCCGAAATCATTCTGGATCTTGTTCATATTCAATCATTTGTTGATAATATTGAGTAAACAATTAAATGATGTGTTGTAGTTAAAAGATTCGACTTCCTATTGAAAGATATTAAGCACGGAAGATAGAAACTTAATGAATGGATGTCCGTACCTGGCAGTAGACTATGCAGAACACGATGTATCTCGATGGAAGGACACAGACTTATGGTGACTCCATGATTTTCTCTAGGTGTGGTCAACGCAATGGCATTTTTTATGCCAACGGTTTCGCTTATGTTCTTTACATGCCTCTCTACCGCTTCCAAGTATTCTGTATTCTGATCTTTACTCAGAATCACAATTAAGCCTGTGTCGTATGCACTGTCACATGGGACGCATCCATTGTTGTGGAAGGTATACTTAGTGTATGAAACACCATCTATGTTATAC